GGTACAGTGGTAATGAACTATTTACATGTTTATATCCGGTCACACTCGTAATGAGTTATTTATGCAGACATTAATTTGGTCACACACAACACACACACACACACACACAACACACACACAACACACACACACAACACACACACACAACACACCACACACAACACACACACACACACACACACACACACACACACACCACAACACACACACACACACACACACACACACACACACACACACACCATCTACGTCAGGCCCATACTGGAGTATGCAGCACCAGTTTGGAATCCACACCTAGTCAAGCACGTCAAGAAATTAGAGAAAGTGCAAAGGTTTGCAACAAGACTAGTCCCAGAGCTACGGGGATTGTCCTATGAAGAAAGGTTGAGGGAAATCGGCCTGACGACACTGGAGGCCAGATGGGTCAGGGGAGACATGATAACGACATATAAAATACTGCGCGGAATAGACGAGGTGGACAAAGACGGGATGTTCCAGAGATGGGACACAGACACAAGAGGTCACAATTGGAAGTTGAAGACTCAGATGAATCAAAGGGATGTTAGGAAGTATTTTTTCAGTCATAGAGTAGTCAGGCCATGGAATAGCCTAGAAAGTGATGTGGTGGAGGCAGGAACCATACATAGTTTTAAGGCGAGGTATGATAGAGCTCATGGGGCAGGGAGAGTGAGGACCTAGTAGCAATCAGCGAAGAGGCGGGGCCAGGAGCTGTGACTCGACCCCTGCAACCACAAATAGGTGAGTACAAATAGGTGAGTACACACACACATACACACACAGTGATAATGCTTTATTTACAGTGAGCAAAGGCAGGGTATTTTTCCATATTGGTTTGTAATATACCACTGTAGATAACATACTTTGACGTTTCTTGAACATTTCTGAGTAAGTTGTCTCTGAATTCATTAATTTTATTGCACTCCAGTACATAATGACGCAAGGTGTGACAATAGTCCATCTGGCAAAGTTTACGTTTCGTTTGGTCTACATCTGGTGGTGGTGATTTAACCTGCCAAAGACACTTGTGACCCAGCCGGAGCCGGGCAGTAGTGACATCCAAGAGTCGGCTTATCTTGTTGGATGCACCATAAACATGTGGCTCCTCCTGCATGATGGAATGATGATAGATGGACTGACTGGTGTCAATTTCCCTCAGTCTTAAGTCAATAAAGTTCATTTGAAATTGTTTTCGTTTTATTGTTCGTAAAGCAGTTGTGAGCTGACAATGCTTCACTATAGACCGATACGTCATCACGAGGTTCCTCTTGTAAGTGCCAGTTGTTGGTGAACTGTTTTCCTGTCTGGTACTTGTAGCAAAAGTATGTTGATTTAAGTGGGTGGGAAACGCCACTGAACCTGGCTATGAAATAAAGACATCCCAATGGACTTAAAAGGTATAAAATACCGACAAATTGTTTAACAAAGCCACAAAAGGAGTTTTGATACTCCAGACAACGTTGCATTTGGAGCTCAAGCTTTTGTTTCTAGACTTGAAAATAAGACATACTGTTTTGAATCCATACGTTTTGGTTCGACTGACTTTTTTCTGTTACAATCTACGACTGAGCATTGCGTGCCACCTTCCTCATTAATTAAGACATGACCCGAGAAAGATACACGGATACTAAGCATCCAAGGAACTACTTATGATTCAAGGAGTTATAATTAATCAACGGAAAAAAAACGAAGGAACTGAAAACTGCAAATATCCTGCTGCAACAGTGAAATAAGGAAGTGCATTCAGTAAGATAACTCATTGATGAATAGTACTCAGACTTTAAACTGATGGAAGATAGACGTGTGGGGGCGTGCCAAAATAAATGGTTTCGTTACTAGGACTGGGGAAAAACAAAAATTGACAAGATAGTTTTGGAAAATATTCAGAAAACAAGTTGGTTCGTTATCAAGACTGTGATAGTAAGGATTTTAGAAAGAAGACATCAAGAGAGTTGATTAAAATTTTCTCTTACTCTCAAATAAGACGATGGGAAAGAAATTCTTAAAAAAAAAAATAAAAAAAAAACTGAGTAATGATAATAACAACAAAAATAGTGGAATGGCAAAGTTAAACAGGGAGTAGATGCAGGAGCAAATCTTTCTTAGCGTATATTATAGTAACTAGAAAGACGATACACGAGTTTAGATCACTTGCATACACAGGAAACGTCTATATTATTGAAATAACCGATACATGGTTAAATTTGAAGACTCTTGACACGTCATCTCAGTGCCACATTTAGGGTTTAAATTGTTCCACGTTGCACGTTGGTATATATAACAAGGGTGTCGTGGCGCTATACGTGAAAGAAAACTTAATTTGCTGTATAAAAACATATGAAGGCTAAAAGGAACAGACACACAATCTATCTGGGTAGAATTTATAGGACATGACAAGCTGATCTGAAGTGTATTGTACATATCCTGACTAAGAAAACAGCCAGGAGAGACTGGTATCCGACGAATCTGATGAAGTTTCATG